TGCGTGTAAAAATACAGATCCATACATTTTTTATCTTAATTTTGGTAAAAAGACATAATAATCCAGATATTTTGAACTTCTGTGTTCGTCCATCGTACCATCGTCCGTCTTGTAGAATGACGGTGGCGCCACCTAGCTGAATTTAAATTTGCAACATATTCGATTTTCCCACTGGCTGTAGAGTGACATAGGCTACTTTTTTCCGCGGAAAAACATCTCATTCCCGTGGGAAAATAGAATATTTCGTATATATAATATTAATAGAATATTTATTACGGGAATGAGATGTTTTTCCGCGGAAAAAAGTAGCCTATGTCACTCTACAGCCACCGCACTATCCCCATAGCAAAATTCATGCCATGCCGACGCTCTATTGCGACGTGAAAGAAGGACAAACTTTTGCAACATATTCTATTTACCCACGGGAATGAAATGTTTTTCCACGGAAAAAAGTAGCCTATGTCACTCTACAGCCACCGAACTATCCCAATACAAAAAAATCATGCCATGCCGACGCTCTGTTGCGACGTGAAAGAAGGACAAACAAACAAACACACTTTCGCATTTATAATATTAAGTATGGATTAGCAAATATGCAAAAAAAAAACGAAAATTAAAAAAAATGTAGCCGATTAACAATACAATCTAAATAAACAATTATTTATTATGACAATTTTCGCGCATTTTTATCAACTGCGAATGCGCGACTTTACTGTTTCCCACGCATGCGCGGATACAGAGTAGGGCACATTTTTTGTTTGGAATAGCTTCTCCAGTACCTAGTACATTTAACTCAATGCTTAAAATACGGTAATTTTAGTCTGCTGACACGGTAATCTGCAATTTTCATCTAGTAACACTGTTTTCGTGACATTCTAGTATATACGCAGTAATCTATGGTGACATTGATTTGATTGACATTTAACACTATAATAACTATAATATTTGGTTTTGGTAGACAATTTTATTGATCATAAAGATTAAAAATCACAGATTAGAACACCTCTAAGGTGGAGTTATTTACTATTTTGATAATATTTAATACAAAACTCACCTAATAATATAAGAACATTGCGTGGCTTGGTAGATAACACCGTTTCACTGATAAATAAACATACAAATATCACGTAAAATGCGCCCGGCGCTCTCGCCATGTTTAGCGATAACGGCGGCTTCGAACGAATTGACGTGTCGTTCGGGCGATCGGGCGGCAAATTGTTCAGTTGGCAAATCGACGTCCGTTACTGCGGTTATTGCCCTTCACCAGGGCTCCCGGTATCGAACGTCAGAATAATATCAAAGAAATATTATTGGCAAAATAAGACGTCTCATCAATTATGAGCAGCCGCAAAAATATTCTCTACTTGTTCGATGTGGATGGAACGTTGACGAAACCGCGGCAGCGTATTTCAGAGGAACTAAAAAACTTTTTACTTAATGAAGTAAAAACCCGCGTAAAGGTGGGATTAGTCAGCGGCTCGGATTATAGCAAAGTTGTGGAGCAAATGGATGGAGAAGAGATAACGAATCAATTTGACTATGTTTTTTGCGAAAACGGCGTTGTTCATTATCAACAAGGGCAACTGAAAAGTACCCAAAGTATCTTGAATTATATTGGAGAACAGACTCTTCAGAGGGTTATAAACTTTGCACTTGGTTACATGTCTAAATTGGAACTGCCGGCTAAGAGGGGGAACTTTGTGGAATTTCGATCAAGTATGCTGAACATATGCCCAGTAGGCCGATCCTGTAGCCAGTCTGAAAGAGATGAATTTTCGAAATTTGACATGCAACACAGGGTCAGAGCAAAGTTTGTCGAAGCTCTTCAGAATGAATTTAAACATACTAAATTAATGTTTGCTTTGGGAGGGCAAATTAGTGTTGATGTGTTTCCAATTGGATGGGATAAAACATACTGTCTCACTCATGTTGTAGATGAAAATTTTGCTGAAATTCACTTTTTTGGAGATAAAACCACTGTAGGTGGTAATGATTATGAAATCTATAATGATGACAGAACAATTGGTCACAAAGTTACATCACCAGAAGATACCAAAGAACAATTAAAAAAGTGGCTAAATATTGAATAAATGAATTGTAAATAAAACACATGTATATATTATGTTGATGTATTTTATTTAATATTAAAAAAAATGTAAATAAGTTTATTGTGCAATTTTTCTTTTTATCTTAACTACAAGTATACAGACATATAGCTGCTTTACAAGTTTACTAAAAATAATTTGTTCTACAAATAGTATTACACCATTTTCCTATTCCAAACTATTTGGGAAAATTTTAACATAATTTATTAACATTTAACAAATGTATTATTTTTGTAGACATGGTCTGACCAATTTATTACATGCTTTTAGATAAGACGTTAAGATCTGTCTGAACTGTTAACCCAACAATTAATTTATCAACAAAGAATAAGTCTAAATAACAATTTTTTTACATAAAATAAATCAAAAAATATTTTATGTTTTTGTATATAGATAACAAAATACTTCATTTATATACAAACACTTGGTCCACTGTTTTGAAATATTGATAAAAATGCTTACACCATAAAATTGAGCGTTCAACGCCCCTTTGAGTAAAGCCTAATGACTATATGACACATATTGAGTCAGTTGAGTATCAAGAGCTCAAGAGTGTAGGTCACTATCATGAACTTATTATAACATTTGTACAAATTTCATTCAAGTCAATGTACTTACATCTTTTAATAATTGAAATTGTAATTTTTGATACCTTAAATATTTATTTTTAAAGATGAATATGAATTTTGTATAATAAATAAATTATGGATTTTGTATAAAGATGGTTAGTGGCCACTGTAGATCTGCAACCAACATGATTCCCTGACAGAAAAATGTCCCAAGTTATCTGATAGGAGACACCTGCTGGATATCCTGTTTCTGTTCAAAGTAGCAGACTGTCCCCGATTGTTCCCAAACAATTAAACCTAAGAGAAGTACAAATGAATTTCAAGAAAATTATAATAATAAAATTATAATCGACATTATTTAATATCTGAAGTCATGGGTTTAATTCTTTGATACACTTTATCTTGGCACCAAATTTAGATGTAAATTATGTGAATATTTTTTTAATTATAATTATCATTTACTCCAGCAATGTCTAATGAAATTCAATAATAATTGATGTAGATAAAATTATCATTATTTATTTTTTATTTTATATGACTGTAAGGCTCACTTTCTGACCCTTAGTTCGCTTAAGTTATTATTTTTTATATAGCAATTGGTAATATATGAGCACACATTTCACCTGATGGTAGGTGGATGCGTGGCCCATAGTTATCCTCAAATAACAATCAAAATGCAAATGTGTTGTTAGTTGCCACCCCCGAGGGCTAAGACGGAATGTCTCGATTCTGGAATCTGGTAAAAAGGGTCTCCAGTTCTCTACATTCACCATACGAAACACAGCAGCATTACGCTGGTATTCCGTGAGAGTGTGGTTCTGCCCCGGTCGGGCCGACCCATTCATGGTACAATTATAAATGCAATGTGGATCTACCATGTAAACTTTGGTACCACATTCTTACCCATTTGTACCAGCAAGCAGCAGTGCACCCAATGCTGTATTCTGTTTGAAAAGATACCACGGCAAGTAGCCTTAGGAGTGACGACGCATTTATAATAATATTTGTTTGTAGTTGATTGCATGTATCAATAGGATATAAGTAGCCACTTACCATAAGATTTACTGTTAGCGTTTATTTAATATTAAAAAAAAATTACTGCTAGCCCTGTATGAGTTTTAAGCATATTTTTTTAATAACGAGCAGAGCATAGTTATACATTACATACAATTTTAGCTCATAGCCCTGTTTCACTGAAACACTTTTGTGACTGCAAAACGCATATAAATAGGAAATTCTTCACTGTATAAAATACGTAAGTAGCGAGGTTAATTTGTAGACACAAAATATAACCTTAATGAATACATTTAAATCTATTGTGATAAATGCATTACATTGTAAATGCAAGTACATAAAAACAATATAAAGATTACCTTAGATTTTTTTACTAAGATATGTTACACAGATATATATAAAGTATTTGGAAGAGCAAATATGGCGGTGCTTACATCAGAACTGCAGTGCGATTGTTTAACTCTGGTGGGTATCACTGCAACTATGTTTTCAATTGACTTCAAAGAGGGAATATGTGGTGGAGCCATACAGCAGCTATATTATGGTTGTAGCATGAAAAGGGTGGCTAGCCCATGGATGCACCATGCTCTCACAAAATACCAGCGTGAAATAGTAGCTTATTGCTGCTGTGTTTCATATGGTGAATGTAGATAACCTGAGACCATTTTTACTGGATATAAAGTATTCAATCTCAGGGGTGTCAAGGCATTTGCGTTTTGATTCTTGATCCAAGATAGATGTAGATGTCTATGGGCCACAGTATCCACTTACAATGAGGTAGACTATGTGCTCGTTTGTTACCCTTATCATATAAAAATCATTCTGTATTAGAGGCATATGTTTTTTTTATTCACCTATTTTTCAGAAACAGCAAACCCGATTTACAATTAAATAAAAAAATTTAGGGGCTTCACAATGTGGGTGCTCATTTGAAATTAAAAATTCAAATGTTGGAGAAATGAAGATGAAGTTTTTATTTTAACATTTTAGATGACATGCTAGTTCTTACCTTTTTATGATATTTTTCATTATTTACACACAAAAGTGTAAAAACATTGAACTATTAATAAAAAATGACTTCAGAAACTAAAAGGAATAAAACATTCCCCACATAAACTTTTTTCAAGTCTGCTTACATTTTACGATACAATAAAGTTTATTTTTTAATCATCTCATTTTAGGTTAGAAAATATTACTATGACAAAACAAAACATAGTTGCAGTGATTCAAAACGGCAATGATTTGCACTGGAGTTATACAATTGTACAGAGCCTTCCCTGTGAGATTACTACCAACTCAATATATTTTAAAATTAATGCCCTTTGTATTTAGGTTTCCTCTTCTCGATGAAGGAGATCATGCCTTCTTGTCTGTCCTTTGTCGGTACATTTATTTCATAGTATTTCTGTTCCACTTCGTAACCGTCCTTGATGCTGAGCTGAACACCTTCGTTTATAGCTTGCTTGGCGCAGCGAAGAGCTATAGGCGCGTTGGACAGTATCTCTCTGGCCAATTCAAGCGCTTTCTCAAACGCCGCGTTATGATTCTCGTTCTGCGGCACCGTATGGTTGACTATGCCTGTCAAAAAGAAAAGGTTATTGGTTCAAGTCTTACTCAATTAACTTCGTGATGAATATACACCTTTTTTTAATAAAACTGAAGTGGCAAAGGAACTTACAGACTTACAGGTCACCTGATGGTAAGTGGCTACTGCAATCCACAGACACCAGCAGTTTTACTTTTTGATACTCAAAATTTAATATGTGTTAGAGCCACGCTGCAGTTATATTAGTAGTATAGTTGTAGCACGAATGGGTTGACTCGCTCGGGGAAGGACCACACTCTCACAGAATATCGGCGTAAAATAGTGCCGCTAAATGCTGCTGTGTTTCGTATGGTGAGTGTAGAGAACTGGAGACCCTTTTTACTGGAAATGAGGCATTCCATCTTAATCCTCACGGATGACCATGCATCTGCATTTTGATTCATATTCGAGGATAGATGTAGATGTCCATGAGCCACAGCAACCACTTACCATCAGGTTGGCTGTGTGCTTGTTTGTCACACTATCCTATAAAAAAGAACTTCCAAGAAAGGCTTTAGATGTGTTGTCATGTGTAAAGACTAAGATGGAATGCCTCAAGTCCTGTAATTATACTGGTTCTCTATATACTTCAAATCAGAGCACAGCAGTGTTTGGCGAAAGAAACAGGAAAGAGAATGGTATCTGCTCAGACAGACTCTTAGGCAGAAAGACAGTCCTACCAGTAGTAAAAGTGTTTAGTTTAGTTTATGACGGGCTGTTTTCCGCAACTCCACGTCTAAGAGCGTATTTTGCGCGTGGGCTGGAATAATATGCTTATTCGAGCCATGATATCTCCCTGAAGAAGCTCAGCAGTCCCTTGATGTTGCAAGCAACTTCGGGGGAGCGATCCCGGCGTGCCGAGATGTTTAGCCCTGTATGAAGCGACTTCTGGACATGTCAGCAACACGTGAGCCGCCGTTTCTTCCTCTCCCATGCATGCCCTCCCCAGGGGGCGTCAGTACACCTATGGTGAACAAATGTTTGTTAAAAGAGCCACGTCCTGTGATAGCACTTGTTACTATCCTGATTTATGGCTTGTTCAGTCTCATTAGAACCTTGGTTAGACGACTGTTTATTTCAGGTAGGGCCTCCCTAGCTTGTCTACAGTCTACTAAATTTTTCCAAAGCTGAGTGTGCAAATTATTGAAGTATCTACGTACCAGTGAACGAACGTAGCCAAAGGGGATTGGTATTATTGGTTCCGGCCCTATAGTTACTAGGGCCGATCCCCTTCTGGCCAGTTCAAAAGTATTTTTACGTAGTAAATGCGAAGATATCTTATGACTACCGATAGATGGCGTTATAACCGTCTCGTTTATGTCAGATGTATTTACACCATATATATTATATATAACCACATATATTTATATATCAAAGGTCAAACGGCACAACAAGACTAATAAAGATTTCCACCATAGTTTGAGACTGGTAGACTAATTTCTTACTGATCGAAAATGTATTTAGTTAATAACAAAATATGACAAGCAAGTTGAAAATACAAACATATTCAGTATGTGGACACCAGACAATTCTAGGATATGCATGGTCCACCCCCTATATATGTCAAAGGTTTCCAGCTAGATTGTTCTTCAAGCTGATGGCTATACTATTATATATACTCTCATTCTAATGTGCACATCCTCTTTATGGATTTCATAATGCGATAACCTCGAGCATATCAATAGCTTGCTGAGTGATTTTGAGATTCCTCAACCGGCCAGCAATCAAGGAGCATGTCTGTGTTCCGTAAGTCATCACTGGCAACACACAATTATTAAAATGTTTTATTTAAGACTAGCGACCCACTCCGGTTTTGCCTGAATAGAATCTATTAATGTGGAGTTATTGTTTTTGGATAAAATATAGTTTAGATCTCTCCTGGAATTGCTCTCTATCTGTCTGTAAAGTTTTATCACAGTCAGTTCAGCCATTCAAAGATAAGCATAGGCAGACAGACAGACAAAAAATTTAAAGTTGCACATTTATGTGTCAATTATGTTGCATGCAAATAACCCATTAAGCTTTTATTTATACTTCAATTTGTACAGATTTGACTCAGTTCCCTAAGTAAAGTTTATTAAATGATATTTATTAAACTCAATCAATTGTATTCACCTTGAAGTCTTACTTCATTGTAAACAACCTCATATAACCAGTAACAAATACTGCTTAAGCTTGCTTATGCTTATATAATACTATTATACTAAAATATTTGCAGATATAAAAGTTTATTTATGATAGCAATTACTCACTCAAAGTGAAGGTAAAGTTGCTGTAGCTCAGGGGTTAAATTTCACAGGACTTCTTTCTAGAAACAGACTCTAGCCAACTCTAGCTTTTAATTGTGAGACTAACTTTTAATTATATTTAGAAATAGGACAAGATTATAAGGCTACAGTCATGTTTTTAAATAAAAAGTCTTGGTGTTACTAACCTAATTCCTTTGCCTCTTTTCCATTAACAATTCTTGAAGTAAATATCAGTTCCTTGGCTATGCTGGGGTGGATTACACGTGGAAGACGTTGAGTGCCACCTGCACCAGGTATGAGGCCTCTGCCGGTCTCCACTAAGCCCAATCTAGAGGTTTCTGCGGCTACTCTTATGTCACAGGCCAGGGCCAGTTCCAGGCCGCCGCCTACAGCCACACCGTCAATGGCAGCTATGGTTGGCATAGGAAGATCTTCTATTTCTATGAATGTTTCCCTGAGCCCTTTCACAAAATTTATAGCTTCGTCATCTGACATTTTAAATCTTTCTTTCAAGTTTGCACCTGCAATAACAAAGTAAAGTAAAATTAAAGATATAACCTTTCACAGCTGCGCACAGGCTTCCTCTCGTTTCTGAGGGAGTTAAAGAGAAATTAGTCCGCTGTGTGTGTTAGCAGTCTTAACATATCCTCCAAATGTTATATTTCTTAGACATTCACATGGTGATGGTATCACCATATTGTGAAATTTACAGTGAGTTGAAATTTATAGCCTCTGATCTATCACAGCCCACTGCAATAAATAATAAAAATATAAAAAATTGGGTATGATTTTTTAATAGTTTAATCTTTTTTTAACAGACTTTTAAAAAAGGAAGAGGTAGTCAATTTGACTGTTGTTGTTTACCTGAGAACTTTTTTCTATGGAAACAATTTTGATGACTCATTTTTTTTTACTGAATGCTGGTGCTTCTCATGTGGCCCTATATTATTACTCATTTAATTGACTTAGACTACACTGATGATGTTCTCGTTTTATTTATGAAGTCAGTTGTACAAAATTTTTAATTTTACCACTTTAGACTTTATATGTGCTTGTTAATTACATAGTTCTTTTGTATGTGTGTTTATAACTGAACTCCTAAATGTCTGGACAGATTTTGATAAAAAATATTGTGTATTTTCCCTGGATGGCTTAGATTCACAATTAGTTCAGGCAGTTACTGCAATTGGGTATTCGTTTTTTTAATGTCTGCTGGGCCCGCTTATAGATATATAAATTATAAGCAAATAGAAACTGCCATTCAAAGAATTTGTAGGCAATTATAACATTATCATCAGCTACTGTACAAAAAGGTCTTTGCTTGAAGGTTAATTATGCAGGGATTGTAAAGTTTTTATAATTTTTTTATGTGGCTGAGTCATATTGAATATAATCTAAAATCATTATATGTGGTAGAGCTTAGCTGCAGCTATATAGTTGTAGCACAAATGGGTAGGATCGACAAGGTAGGACCACACTCTCACAGGATAGGAGAGGAGAACCTCTTTACTAATACCAAGGCATTTTATGTTAGCCTTCAGGGGTGACAGTGCATCTACACTTTGGTTTTACTTGGTGATAGATGTAGGTGTCTGTGGGCCATGGCATCCACTCACCATCAGGAAAACTGTATAGTCATGGCACATAAACACCTATATCTATACACTATCAATAATCAAAATGCAGACCCATTGTCAACCTTGACAACTAAGATAAAATATCTCATTATCATATATCAAATATGAGTAAAAACCTGGAGATCTACATTGACTATATGAAACATAGGAGCATTGCAGCACACAGTACAGCATCACTAGGGCTGGGATATCCACTGATTTTTGTCATGAAATACATTATTTTAAAGTCAAAGTTAAAAATGTTTGAGTAAGTTTCGGCTTATTAAATTTTTCTACTTTTACTCAATATTTGGTTCCATTGATTTACAAAAATTTGAAGATGCTTTGAGACATACCAGCAGAGCCTTTATTTAAGATCATGTTGAAGTATATAAGCATCTATACCATACATCACTAATTATTTACCAGAGTTAAATTTGTCTTTCCTAAACCTGGCAGGATGAACCAGACAATCAAGTTTTTCATACTAGCATGCCAGCTGCGCCCCAACCTACTGTTGAACATAATTAGTTTTTGCCAGGAAATAGTTTTAACTATAGTATATATATTTTATAACTTAAAAGTAGTTATTTTTAAATTTAATTTAAAATGTTTTAAAACATGAACAGCACTTGCATAAACAAAATGCAATATAATGTAAAATGTGTACATTAATGTTAAACAAGCAAGAATATTAAAGAAAAAATGTAATTTTGTTGTTAATTTTGTGAAAAACAATGATGTGACCAAGCAATGAAACTTTGTACATCATGTATGTTAATAAAAGCTATTATAAAAGTAGACCTTTTCAGCAATAGTCATTTGAAAGTGCCAATTTCGATAGTTAATCTAAAGATACGCTGAGCTAAGATGCAATGGCGTTTTAGAAACTTATTAAAAATACCTGCACAGAATATTCCTCGTACCAGGCTATGTAAAATGACGACAGATATTTTTGTGTCTTCTCGAATTAGTGCATTTACTTCCTTCATGGATTTTACGACGTCAAAACCCAGGGCATTTTTGTCCTTTGGACTGTTGAGGCCGTATACCGCAATACCCTTGTCGACTCCTGTCAACTTGTGGAAAACTACAGGACCTATATTTTCAGTTTGCTGCCGAATTTGTGTTGATAGTAATCTCAAATATTGAGCTTTGTTGAACACATGTGTTAAACCTACTTTTGATATAATCATTATAATTATATTATCAAACACACAGTTACTGAAGTAAAGTACTAGTGTCTCATTAGACTTTAGTTTACTCCTTTTTTTTACTTTGGTTATGTGGTTCCTAATCACTTCCAACTAAAGTAGTGGAGATCCCTTCTATTCAAGAAACAATACTTGTTTGATTTAAAATTACCTATCTCTAGTGATAACGATTGTCGAATAAATTTTTATTTACATTGAATCAACCTTCAGGGTTACGTAATTACTGTAGTCGAATATAAAAATAACGACTTTCAACGTAGTATAAATTATAAAACAACAAGAAATTCTAATACTAAAACAAAAATAAAACTCATTTTTCATAGATATAAATTTCCCAAGGGTAAAAATCATAGAGTAGAGTAATATATACAGAAAGTAAAAATAACGTCAGATGTAACACAGAGTACTTTCAGATGGTCAGATCATAGATTACTGTGTATATACTAGGGTCAAAGAAGAATGCCCACTTCCCATACATTGATTGACCTGTCACTTGATTTGTTTTACAGGGCGCGTCTACCTACAAGTGCTGTTGCATAAAATCAATTATTGTTTATAATAACATAATAACTTATTACCTTTTCATTTAGAGGCCAGGGAAAAATGCTATTAAGTAAATAAGTTTTTCAGGTTATGACAGCTGTCAAACCTTATTTGACAGCTGTCGCAACCTCAAAAACTATACATTTATAATCAAATTGTTTCTTTCAGGTATACAAAAAAGTACTCTGTTATTGTTTCTTAATCGCCGAGAGAGTTACAATCACTCAGAAATAAATCCCTCTTCAATGTAATATTATCATCTGTGCGCGGTCACAAATAGCAGTTACGTTTTCGTAATATCTCGCCTATGTTGATTTTTAGACTACACTTTATGCAAATTAGAACAATATACGTATAGTTCATTTAATTATCGGTCAAAATCTGTCGTCGTAACAGATTGACTCAAGAAGTCGTCTTGACAGGCGACGCTTTCTGCCATCGAACTCTAAAAGTCTGATGAACAGAGAAAGAGAGTAAATAATACCTAATATAAGCATAATAATACGGCCCCACTGCTGGGAAAAGACCTCTTTTCATACAGAGAAAGCAGCAGCATTAATCACCAAGCAGAGTCAAGATGAGTTGGCAGTTTCAGACTTTTATTTTGATTATTATACTTCTACCATATGATTATTGAGTTCAGGTTGCCTCACGATGTTTTCATCCCCATTGTAAGATAAACTTAGAAAATACGTACCTACGCATTGAAAGACACACATTGGTACTTGCCTGAATTTGAACTCACAGCCTGTGCATAAGAGGCGAGTTGTAACCTATGGGCCATCACAACATTAATAGATAACAAAAAGAGCTACCTTTTCTACATGTTTTTGGCGAGAACAGGGAAATTAAATAAAAAACACGATTTGATTTATTTTTATTTATTCATTGTCTTCTCGTATGACCACTTCATCTAAAAATGCAGCTGGAGGCTCAATATTGGTTTCATGCCTGGCCCAACCCAAGTACCACACCATTGTCATAATATGCGCACAACAACCTACAGTGCGACGTCCTACAATGCAGTTACAGCAATACTCTACAATGCCTTCTCGTCCATCAACACCATTTGCAATCAAAATGTACACATAGTACTGACGTCTTGAGATATGTCTAGACTTTATTTTTCCTTTTATAAGTGAATTTTCCCCACTGCCTAACTCAGGTATATTATTAGTATCCTGACAAACTTCTATCCTGTATCCGCCATGGAAACGTACGTGTTCACCATAATATGAACACGCTTGGCGAATTTGGTACGTTCGCCCAAGGCGAATAATATTAATTCACTGTATTCTAGACGGGGAAACTCAATATTAGCAGTATCAGCTGTAATGCTTTGAAAAAAGGATGCCCGGCGATTTAAATTATATTCTGTAACTATATTAATTAAATTATTTTCCAAGGGCATCCTTTCATTTATTATACCAAGAATTTGAGCAGCATCAGCTCTATTGCGAGACGAACACCAAACTTATTTATTAAACTTGCAGCAATTTGGAAATAAGCCATCATATTTGGTACAGTTTTATTAAAATTGTCAAACCTTAATAATCTAAAATCTCTTTTAAAATATCCATTTACAACCTCCACCACCCATCTGCAAATAGTTACACATCTACTTCTATTTGCTTGGGTGGTGGTTAACTGGTGTTCACCTTCCAAAAGTGACTCTGGCATATATGCCTTATAATTACAATGCTCCAATAAGCTGATGCTGTCTCTGAATCCCCTGTCTAAAATAAATATGTCATTATCTTGAAAGTATTGTCTCAGTGGGGAATTTTCGTTGCTGAACAAAGAAGACATTATATCGGCATCAGATGTGGTAGCTTTGTATGGGCCAAAACAATCTAAAATGTAACCGTCACAGGCAACTATTAAAAATGGCTTTAACAGATTTCTATATTTGTGTAAAGAATATGTGTCTTTTTGAAACATATAATTGCCACTTTTATTTAAAAAAATGTATGTTCCATCACACATCACAATACATTGTTTATTATTTTCATTGTAAATTCCATTCGGAATGATTAGATTGTGTTCTATTAATTGTTCTCTCGGCAAGTGATTTAGTCCAAGGTTACATGGAACAAAATCCTGTAGCAGTACCTCTCGTGCTGTTTGCATTAACCTCTCTAGTGTAGTACGAGGAACTTCTAGCAATGTTGATATTCTTAAGTCGGAATCACCTGTCCGCATCTTTATCAATACAGCAGCTAGACCTAATACACCCCTATGTTTTTCCAACAGTCGGGGAAGGTCTTCTAACAAATTAAGGAATTTCAATTTTGACAAGCCAATCCAAAATTCAAATAAATTGTCGTCAATTTCTTGTAATGATTCTATGCTTGAAAAATCGAGAAAATGCTTGTATTTTTGAACAAAGGAAAAAACATGCTCAACTTGTTCAACAGTGAAATCGCTCATGCTGTTATCACTGGTATAAAGGGAACTCCAACTGTTTCCATGTAAATGGTATGTGCATACTCTTGCCAGTTTGGGAATATAAAAATTGTAGTTGCACAAAATGGTAGCCCGCAGTGCATCTGACACAGTATGCAGATTTTCATTTTCACACCCATAAAATGCACAATGAGATGCTGTATTGGGAGCACGTTTATAATTATGTAATGTAATGTTACTTGATTGTTGGGTTTGAGATTGTAGCGAATGAACCTCTGGAGCTGCAACTGATTCTACAGACGAATCCCTTTCATCTGTACTTGCAAGAAACGGGGGAGGTTGTAATTCTGGAACATGAACTGCATCAACAGGCTGTTCCACTTCTTCTTGACCGTGAGGAGTCTCATCACCTTCTAAGCCTCTTCTTTCATCCTGTTGTTGAGTTAAAAGAGCTTGTCTTTTAAACCTCAACCAACAGGCATGACATACACGATCATATTGTGATATCTGTCAACAAAAAAACAACATATTTGTAATAAATGCAGTGACATACCTAGTAATGTCATAGATTAGAATGTGAAGTTTAATGAAAAAATTGCATGCAGTTTAAAATGAGATTGAATATTTAAATACAAACCTGACGAGGTGCTACAGTAGCTCGAATTAAGTTGATCATTCTTAGTGTGAGGCTTGATGGGTTTTCTTTGTGAATATGGTCACTTTGACGATTGAGCATTGATCGACCACAAAGCAAAGGGCACACTTGAGTATGACCAAGGCGAGATGAACAAGCAGATGGATGACACTCATTGTTTCCATGAATTTGAGCATTAATAGACTGCATGGATACATCAAAGCACGCTTCACAAATGTAGTCCTCTTCCGTAATCTGAAAAATAAATCAATTATGAGATTATAAAGCATAAATTGAAATAGGCACATTTAATTTGTATTTTTACATGTTTTATTTTTTATTTTAGACAACTGTCCTAAAGGACACTTTAGCTAAACATGGGTAAAATCTTACTACTACTATTGTATTGTTGTATGTTATATGTTGTATGTTATTACTACTTACTATTACTGGAGATATCCAAGTGCTAATTAGCGAGATGACTCTGCTATCAAGCTGAAGGGCCCGATAACGCTGAAGCCTATTAATACATATGTTACAGTTTATACATAGCATTCTCGTAGAAGGCTCCATAACGCTTTCCAACAAGTACGATAACGTCTTAGATCCCAATCAAAAAGCTAAATCGGTATCCGTATTACACAGGCCATAGTAATCGTGAGTGGAAGGTATCGAAGTCCGTGGAAAATGCAAGTTGTAAGGGTATCAGAAAATCCAAAATCGTAGGGAAAGCTAACGAACGACTGCAAAACTTCAAACAAATGACGGACTGTCATTGACAAACATGTTTTTTTAAATATGTTTTGGCATGGCTTCTGGGCCTTTAAGTCATTGTAAAACTCGTTCCGTCTCCAAAAGTCTATTGAGAATGATAAACAAATTAACATTACTCTTTTTCCTGGCTTTATTAGAAAATTCAATTATGCGATTCGAAATAAGCAAAAAAAGAGCAATTTTATAAGATATTTTACATCACTAGACGCTTTCGAAAATTTTCAGGTCAGAATTGGACATGATTCTTTCAGATTGGTCAAAAGTCAGAAGCAAGCTAGCAAGTCAGGAGCATTTCCGTAGCCAGAGAAACCTAATAAAGTTGTTCAAAACGACTATAAATCAATAGCACGCTACAGACTATAAACTATAAATTTCTAGCGCGCTATTAAATACGCTATGTTATAGCGCGCTATTTATAAGAAATCGTGTAGGAGGCCGGCAAGCGCATTAAGTTTAGCAGCACGCTATATCTCGGAACACACTACATTACATGTCGTTCAATGGATAGACCGCGTGCTATATAAGAACATTATTTCGTGATAAGTCGCATTTTAGATTAAAATTAAATAAAGTGGTAAAGAAAAATCAATGAACGCTCTTTCATACTTTTCAGGCTTACCTCTCTTTATAATTCTAAAAAAATATTTTGAAGGCATGTACTTTGTAAAACAAAATAAAACTAATCATTTTTTATTATAATTGATGTAAACGTTATTTTAACCTTAATATAAATTATAAATCAATTAAAGGTGTATTTAAAAGTTTATTGATTGTATATATAAAAACAACTATTTACAAACACTATTATATACACTTTTGTATCTATATTTTATTTAAATTTAAAAACAATAGTTAGGCTTCTTTTGTAGCAGACAACTGTGTCCTTCGATCACTTATAAATATACAGTATACACTAACTAAACAACATCTAAAACTAAATTAGTTCGCGCACGATGAATAGCGTGCTGCTAGATTAAATTTGCGTCACACGTCTACTCCCAACAGCGCTGCTGCTAGAACTAATTGCCGCTTGATACGAAAAGCGCCAAAGCGTCGTAGCGCCATGGCGACTACTTACATAGCACGCGCTATGCGTTGTGAAGAGATAGCGCGCTATAATATGGCGCTATGCGCTATATTAACCACCATTAAAACTAAGCATTTCCCTATATAATATTGTAGTCTTTGGTCAGAAGTCAGAACTGCTTCCGATTTACAAAAAGTAGCGATGGGTCAACTCAAATACATAAATATAATAATAATAATAATACTTAACTCGAGTTAACCAGAGTATCCTCGAGTTGCGCTCAACTGGAGTTTGGGGCTGGCTGTGCACTTTACATGAACGAAACAAGCGAGCCAGTGAAAGCTTCGATAAAAAATTCACACTTTTCCAATTCACATCGGTGGGGCGCGCGTTTCATTGGTCGAAATAATCGCGTCGCCTTCTATACAATTCTGATACGCACAAGGTGCTCGGTTTGTGTTGGTCACCGGAGTGCGGAGTGTTTAGCCTTAAGGTAAACCCGCCCGCAGAAACGTGCACAAAGCGCACAATGCTGTCATGCGTTGCTAGATTATGGGATGTTATGGGTTTCGTAGCCCCGGTGGTGCTATACGCTAAGCTTTTGATTAAACAACTTTGGTTATGTGAATGCGATTGGGATGACCCGCTGCCTGATAGCATTGTTCGGTCGTAGCCGCGTTTTAGAGAGGAACTTCCTATACTAAGCGAAATTAAAATACCACGTCATATAAACGTCGATAGAAATAGCGTCATCATGGTCGTTAGGTTTGCAGACGCTAACGAGAAGGCTTACGGGGACGTTGTATATTTTCACGTCCAGAATAATGGTGGAAATTCGATCAGCCTCATTAGCTCTAAGTCAAGAGTCTCCCCCCGTAAGGTCGTCTCTCTCGCGCGCTTAGAGATTTGCGCGATATTAGTCCTTGCCAAGCTTATACGTAGTTATCAGTGCATGTAGTGACAGAGTTCACATAGGAAGAATATTTGCCTTTTCTGACTCAACCGTCGCTTTATGTTGGGTTCATTCTTCACCCCACTGTTGGGATACGTTTGCCGCGAACCGAGTGGCCAAGATCCAAGACGAGTTAGGAACACGGAACTTTTATCACGTGTCCGGTACGGAAAACCCTGCCGATTGTCTATCCCGTGGACTCACCCCGATGCAAATAATGGACCATCCGCATTGGTTCCACGGACCTTCTTGGGTTCACTTGGAACCCTCGCAGTGGCCAATAACCGTTTTCGACCCTTCGTCAGTGTCGCAACCACCGGAAGAGAAGAGGCACGCTCTGGTGGCGAACGTTTCGAACAAGGTTTCTCCAATCATTGCTTTGACGAACCGTTTGTCCTCTTGGTCGAAATTATTGCGTAGCGTGATTTACGTTTGTTGATTCGCGAAGCTTTTACCGCAACGTTTGTATATCGTAGCGTCCAATTACAGCTGTGCCGAGTTGCTAGTATTGCGTGAACTTCAACGTGCACATTTTTCCGATGAAATTACAAGATTACAATCGGAAAGAACTTGTAGTCGCGCTTTTCAACGTCTTAAGCCATTTTTACAAGATGGAATCGTCAGGGTAGGTGGACGCTTGTCTAACTCGCAGTTGAGTTTCGACCAACGGCACCCTATAGTTTTACCGCGTAAAGACCATATCATGAATTTATTAGTTGATTACTACCATAAATTGAATTCTCACGCTGGCCCCGACTTGCTGATGTCAATCTTGCGTCAGAATTATTGGATTCTTTCAGCACGTAATTTAATCCGCAATAGGGTGCACAGATGTATAGCTTGCTTTCGAGTACGTCCTAAGCCGTCATTTCCGGAAATGGCAGACCTTAGGTCTTGTCGAGTAACACAATCCGTAAAGCCCTTTATGCACACCGGGTTTAAGGTCACGCTCACTCGCGGGCGTGGTTTATACCACGCCCGCTGAGCGTGACCTTTGATCCACAAAAGCTTACGTCTGCATTTTCGTATGTCTGACTACTCGGGCTGTGCATATAGAACTCGTTGATGATCTAAGCACAGCGGGCTTCATGGGTGCATTGAAAAGATTTCTTTCCCGCCGTGGCCCTGTAAGTAAATTGTATTCGGATAACGGTACAAACTAGGTCGGCGCGAAACGTATTTTATCAGAACTCGATGAGCTTTTAACCAGTAAATATTATAATTCGGAGTTCACTCACATCCTAGCCGAGAACCGCATCGAGTGGTCTCTGAACGTCGCGGCAGCGAGCCATTTTGGGGAAAATTGGGAGACTAATATTAAGAGTCTAAAAGAGTTATTTATACCGAGTAATAGGAGATCAATTTTGTCCGTCGAAGAGTTAAGTACTGTGCTCGCTCAAATTGAGTGCGTCATGAATAGTCGCCCCCTTTGTCGTACGTTGTCAAGTGACCCCTCGGAGCCGCTGGCTCTAACTCCAGCACATTTTTTGAATTTAACGCCCTTGAAGTATCTGCCCGCCATAGACATGGACGAGAACAAACTTAATATTTCCCGTAGACAGAGAAACCTATAGACAAATTGACGCCTTCTTTCGCATTCGCACACGAAAAAGATAGATTTATGCATACGTCTTGCATAGAAATGAGACAGAGAGGTGTGATTGTTTGTCCCTTTCTCCGTGCCGCTTTTTTTGTTTAGCAAACTACCCTTTGCTAAACAACTTTGACAGTTCGTAGCAATCTAAGGAGTTTACAAGTAGGTTTAAGTGAGAAGAAATGTGTTTTGTGAGCTTAAGATTGGTGAATCTTGTTTAGTTCAGTTCTTAGAACAATTAAAATATTTATCTAAATATGTTTAAAAGTCATACAGATTATTGTATAACCTATAACTACGTTATCTTTCTTTCTCACTCGAGGCCACGCTAATCATTAGTCTATAGGTTTCTCTGTCTACGGTATTTCCACACGCCATAAATTATTGGACCGGTTGATGCAGTCGTTTTCGAAACGATGGAGGATGGAATAATTGCATACGTTGCAGTCTCGGCAAAAATGGAACACAACAACTGAACCTTTAACTGTCGGAACTGTGGTTGTGCTCTCGAAGGAGAATACGGCGCCTCTCCATTGGCCATTAAGGATCGTCGAAGAAGTTTTTCCCGGTTCCGACGGGGTAACTAGGATAGCTCGCGTTAGGACCACGACTGGGTCTTACATGCGTCCTGTTGTCCGTTTGTGCCCTTTGCCCCTTCAATAGTTTAAATTAGCTTTCTAGATTAGAAATTGTAGTCGAAAATTAGGTTTAGTCTTAGCGTTAGTTATTTTGAAGGGGACCCTTCAAGCCGGGGGGGGATGGTTACGCGGAAATTCGTGTATTTTAATTTTACTCGAGGGTAAATTTTGCCAAGTGTCTATCCTTATTTTGACCTATTGTCACTCCGTACAACTGAAAGGGGGGGGGGGTGAGAGGGGAAAGAGGAGATTCTAGAAGGTTACGTGATTCTTTCGACCAATGAGAAGCGCGCCCGACCGAGTTACATTGATAGGAAAGCCGAAGCAATATAAGCTCGCGCGCTGTCCTCGAGTGCGCTCTTGCCACGCGCCGCTAGTCTGAACCGCATCACCTGGAGCAGTTGCACTCCAGAAGTAACCGCCTCACATAGTGTGAGATATCGTCGCGCACCGCTCTCTTCCTTCGGACGACTGGCCTGGATCACATCTCTGGGGTGCCCCAGAAGATCCACCTCACGTCGCATCACAGCAACAGAAGCGCCTAAGCCGCATCGAAGTCACACCCCGGTAAGTGTGTTTTTTCCTATAATTCAGTGCCTGCTTGAGCATTTGTTTGTTAGCTAATCCGCCCCATTTCATTTCTCCTAACGTGCTCAAGCAGGATTCCTTCATAACTTTGGCAAACAATACATTTCGGAAGAGCGAGTGCATTGTCAAGGAACCGCGTGCCACATCCGCCGTCTTGTTGAGGCAGAAGAAGCTTCCCGCGTATACAGTCCATCTAGTATAACATCTCGCGTAATAGGGTCAAGGCTCGACCGGGAATCGAACTCGGGAACACTAAGGCCCGCCGCCCAACCAATATTTATTGTACTAATTATTAAGTTGAGACACTTTATTTTTGTGTAGTAATATAAATGTCGATTTTAAAACTATTTTTTTTTTGATGATGGCTTGTTATTTAAAACATAAGTTTCTCCACTTTTGTTTTTGGTACTTAGTGCCTTTTTATTTCTGGTATTCATGTTTAACCATGCCAAATTACAGCTCTTTAGAATACCAATATTCGCTGCACTAAGCCGCGGACAAACCAACAGACTGTTGAACTTGGTAAAACTATAAGAGTTCTTTGTTGTGTTACTATAGAACCCTAAAAAAACTTGCTAAGCTGAAATACTAAAAAGATGATTTTAGTTGTTCGATTGCATTTTGCTAATGTTTTTGAGTTTTTCTCTTTTTCTTAGGGAAACTATCGATATAAAATATCGATATGGTAGCATCGCAATTAATTAGTCAGTCTGACACTCATAAATTTATCTATAGTGCCACCAACTTATCTGTTCAGTTTACAGAGTCGCTATTGGAGTGCTTACTATTGCCATTTAAGAAATTCGCCGAGGAAATAGGTGACTACATATTCATTAGGTACACATAATATAAAATAAAACAAATTTCGTGTTAATATATTAAAATTAGTGAGAATTAGTGTTATTATATATATTATTTATATTTTATAAAAATAATTGTGGTCGTGGTCTCGGAGTTCAAGCGGCCGAACTCCAGGAATTTCAGTTTTGAAAGACGTACCCGTGTTAGCTACTGATTCCAATAATTCATCTTCTGAGTCACTGGAATCGCTTTCGCTATCGCTCTGACACTCTATAATAAAGGGTTCATCTAAATACGCGTCTTTTAGTCTGTATTCATTTTCAATTTTTTTCACATGATTACAAATGTTTTTCCACTGCACCGGTGTAATTTTATTGAATGCATCTTCAATTAATTGGGGCATTAGAACATTAGATTTTCCAACATTTTTGTCTGCTATGTTCCTTTTCATAGAGCTCCATATCATTTCAATTGCGTTCAAGTCGCAATGATAAGGCGGCAATCTAAGAATAACATGGCCATAACTTTTCATCAGGTTATCAATTTCATATTCCGGAGCAGGTTTATTTTTCTTTATTAACTCATAAAGCTGTGGTTTTGTCATTTGTTCATTGAAATCCACATTGTTTTCTACAAGCCACTTCTGCATATCAGCCTTACTGTGGTTTGAATTAGGACACCTATTTACGCAAATACTATGGTATGGCGCATTATCCATCACAATGAGAGAAGGTTCATGCAGATTAGGTAGTAATTTTTCATATACCCATTTTTTGAAATTAGTGCTATTCATTTCATCATGGTAGTCCCCATACTTTGTATTTGATTTAAATACGAGAAGTGCATTTTCCACAAAACCTTTTTCTCCACCTGCATGGATTATGATCCACCTATTACCTTTCGAAACAGGTTCCAAATCGCCATCCTCTTCAGGACCTTGCCAACATTTCCCAGTTGAGTGAGACGAATGTATGTAAGTTTCGTCTAAATAAATAATAGGTCTTTTTTCACCACACTCATTTTCTTTAATTTTTTGTAGGTAGGTTGCTCTCCATGCAACTACGTCGTTACGTTCATACAACACTTTTCTATTTGATTTTGTTTTCTTATAACTAAATCCTATTTTGTGAAGCAATTTTCGAAGAGTTTCACGTTCTGCTTTGAAATCAATATCTTCTTTTAAAATACTCAGTTTTCAGTCTCTGTCAATTTGGGTATGGTAGGAATTTCTTCTTATAACACCAATGTCGAAATTATCAACTTCTTGTTTCCCGGTTTTTCTTTGCCTTTTTTTGCCAGGGGTAGAAATTTTAGAATTTGATTCTTCAGCGTGTTTCTCTTCATTTACGAGTTTGTGTACAAATCGCTCAGAAACACCTGTAACGAAACGACAAATAATTATTGTATAGGTAAAATTAAATAAATATAAGCCCGTGTATATGCCGTCACTATAGCTACTTCACAGACCACAAATTACAAAGCTAGGTAATTTAGACGAATTACAGTAAATTGAGAATTTTTTTTTACTATGTTTCACAAGTACATTATTAGGTGATTTTAATTTTCCATATCTGGCAATACTAACCTGTCGCGGCAGTAACGCGTTCATACAGCTTTTCAAATGGTATAATTGGGGCTTGTACACGTTTCTCTTCTTTCATAAAAGATAAAACTTTTAGGATAATCTGTCGCGCATCACTTTTAAGAGCTTTAGGCATTTTATTTGCACTTTTTAAAAACACTCACCTGATAGCTCAGAATAAATAATAACCGACAGCGAAATGTCATTTACAAAATGGCGGCCTTAGTTCCAATTTTGTCCACCTGAACAGATAAGTTGGTGGCACTATATGTTGATGTATTTGACCTTTGACTAGAGAAAAAAGAAAGGACATCACATAAATATCGTTAGTTGTAGGAATGTAACGAAATGTCGGCGTCTCTTTTTAGCTCCATGAGTATATTCGTATGTAAAAAGGACAACATTACATCTATCATTACCGAATATGACAACAATTTTTTCACTGCGGCCGGTCGCCATATTTTGTCACAGTCAATGACAAGTATATCAGTTGTCATGGCGACTAGTTTGTTTTCAAATGTTTAAGAAAATTTAATGTTTTATGCGAAAATTGTGCATTTCAAAACTAGTAGAGGACTACATTTATCATGGGCAGGTGCAGTGTAATAAGCTGCTGGATGAAAAACAAGAACACACATCAAAATATTACTTTGCATAGGTAAGTAACTTAGTTCTAATCCATAATGATCTAATGTTAATATACGCGATAAAATCCGTAAAAATTAATATTATTTAAATGTGTAGTGTTCGCATAAATATAAGAAATCATTATGATCTAATGTTTTTCTATCATTATTTAGTGATCGAAAATCAGTACGGTCCGGCATTATCAATATATCGATATATCGATAGATGAATAGTTCCTATTTAAAGAGGATTTCTTTTTTGTGGCTTTAGATTACCAAAGTGTGAGAAACAAAAAGAAAAGTGGCTGAATATACTTGGTGTAGAAAACCTCAACACCAAAACTAAACACATTTTTATTTGTTCGCTACATTTTGAAGAAAAATGTTTTAATCGAACTTTAAATGTTACAAGGCTGCGCGATGATGCTTTGCCTTCAAGCGAGTTGTTGGTGAGTAGTAAAATGCTTCCGCAGTATGGCTGCAGGTTAAAAATAAGCAAAAAATATTACAAATATATATTTGTATTTTTATAGTTACCAGCTCAATTTGAAGATTGTAAGGAACAAGAATCTGTTTCTCGCAAGGTGTTAGTAGGGAAACCTAGCTACAGCACTTCTAACTATGCAGAGGTAAATTATGCTCATTTCCTAAGAGGGTGCGGTGCTGTGGGTAACTAAAAAATCTTGACATTTTAATAAAAACCTACAAAATATTTATTAATATTTTTATTTGACCTTTACAGTTATCAGCCCAATTTAATAAGTGTGAAGAACAAAAATCCGTTTCTCACATATTACGAGAAGAGATGCCTGTCTGCAGCATTTTTAGCTATGTAAATATAAGTATGATATTTCATAATTTATGTTACTTTCTAGGTATAGATTCTGGACTTTTAAATACAAATTCACTTAATATTAAAATATTTTATTGTTTTCTTTAACAGCCCCATGTTACAGGAGTGAGAAGCAACAAACTGTTCCTCGCAAAGTATTTTGAGAGAAACCTGTCTGCAGCACTTCTAACTTTATTTATTATTTTCACATGTTTTTTTAACATATAATCTTAAAGAATTTTAACCAACCACATTAAATGTGGTTAAATGAACTGCTTCTTGTAAAATATTCATCATGAGTTGGATCCATAGCCTATTTTTCAAAAAAAAAAAAAAAAAAATTAAAAGATAGAATGAAAAAAGTGAGGAGACAAATTAAGAAAATAGCTGATTTTAAAATTTTAATGAAGGATATAAAGGACAAAAACTATGTTAATGATGATCATGCGACTGTGTTGGAGCAGTGCGCAGGCCCCAAAGATTTTCTTAAGAGACAAATTTCTAAATCGGTAGGATTGCCTATGAAAAGGCAATACAGCGAAGAAGTTCGAAAATTCGCATTGACGCTCCACTTTCTGTCTCCAAAGGCCTATGATTTTGTTCGTCGTACCTACGATACGTGTTTACCACGTCCGAGGACTTTAAGTAGGTGGTACCAGAATGTAAACGCTTTGCCTGGTTTTTGTACAGAAGCTTTTAATGCTTTGAAACTCAAAGCTCAAACAAGTGCGATGCCAGTGCCATAAAAGAACATATCTTTAGTGTTAGATGAAATGGCTATCAGAAAGTGTCTTTGCTTGGATCCTCAAACTAAGACTTATTATGGAAGAGTTAACGTGGGCACTGACTGTGATATGGACTCACTAGAAGTAGCCAATTACTCCTGACCTGTATAAACGGTAGTTCAAATTCAAATCGTTTATTGCATGTCGCATTACAAATTTAAGATGGTACAATTTTGATAGGTATACATGTGACGCCCCGCAAGGGCATAGCAACACTAGAGGGCTATTTGTGTATTATCTAATTTTTAAACATAAATTACAAATTGTCATATCATCAACATTCAATATTATTTTATATAAATTAATTTAATTTTAAATACAATGTACCTAGTCCAAGTATTCTTACTTTGTCGTTATTTATCGTCAAAAAATTCATTTAAATTATAGTAACATTTATTAATAATAAATATTTTTAATTGTTTATTAAATTGCACAGGATTTTCCAGGATTTTTATGGAATTCGGTAAATGGTTATAAATCTTTATTGACATAACGTGAGGGCTGTTTGAAACTAATTTTAATTTGGAGAAGGGTATCTTAAGCTTATATAAATTTCTATTATTTCTTTTAGTTTTTTTAATAGGTGAGTAGAGTTTTGGGTGTTTCCTAACGAATTTAGAAGATTCGAGGATGTAGATAGACGTAAGTCTTAAAATTTTATTTTTATTGAAGTGGGGTTTACATGATTCCATTTTGTTCAAATTTATCAATATTCGTAGATACTTCTTTTGTAATATAAATAATTTGTTTACATCACAAGAGTTTTCACACAAGATGATGCCATAGGAGAGTACGGAATGAGCATGTACATAGTAAGCCGTAAGGGCCGTCTTAAAATCTGTCACACGTTTAAGGTGTTGCAGAGCATGGGGATATTTTTTTTGCAACTTTTTGTATGTGCTGTTTCAATTCAAGCAAGACGACTTTTACTTACAGTAACAGCATCGTACACGCTTTTATTGATCCCTGCCATGCTATCAAACTAGTCCGAAATGCTTTCGGAGAACTAAGAGTTTTTTTGTGATATTAAAGGCAGGGAAATTAATTACATCTATCTGGAACATCTGCTAAATTTGCAGGAAGTAGCAGAACTGCATATGGCCACGAAATTGACAAAAGCTCACGTACTTTATCAAAAACAAATAATGAAGGTACGACTTGCCACGCAGCTTCTTAGTGACTCGGTGGCAGATACCTTGGAGCATTGTAATAATTTAAAACTACCTGTATTCCAAAGATGTGAAGACACAATTAACTTTATTAGGTTAATAAACAATGTTTTTGATGTGTTGAACAGCCGATCAATTAGACCACCGGGGTGGAAAAAGGCTATTTTCTCTGGAAGGATTGGTATGGTGGAAGCTTTATTCGAAGGTGCTATTAGCTACCTTCAAAATCTGACGTTGCCATCTGGGCAGAAACTTGTAGATACTAGAAGAAAACCGGCTTTGTATGGCTTATTCTGGATATGATCAGTGCAATTAAACTCTATAAATATTTGATTGAGTGCACCAAACTTTTACAGTACTTGCCATTACTGCCAGTTACAGCCAGGACCACCTCGAGTTGTTTTTTTCAGCTATTCGGGCACGAGGTGGCTTCAATAATAACCCAAACGCGGTTCAATTTAGGGCAGCTTTTAAAAAATGATTAATAAGAGCTGAAATTAGGGATGCGGGCCTTGGTAACTGCGTACCCCTGGAACAAATTGATACACTAACCTGCTCTTGTAAGACTAACCCAGTCAAGGCCATAAACGATTTGACAGAAAGAAATCATCATTCATCAATCATTTGTTGAATTGCCTAAGGATGATAATGAGTTATACGAAGAATTTATTCATTGCACGTACAACAACCTACCCAACTATTCCGACAGCGTAGTTACTTATATTGCTGGTTTTGTATCAAGAAAGTTGGCACAGTCTATAAAATGCGATATTTGCGCAAATTTGTTGTTTGGCGATCAAAAAGACTATCAAAAAAGTTTAATAACTTTAAAGAACAGGGGTGGGCTGATTTACCCATCAACAAACGTGAAGCGCACTCTAATTAAAGCAGAAAAATCTTAAAGGGTATTTTTCAGAAACAACTGCGATCTGAGCAATATTACCTCCATGTGTTCAGATTTTTAATGGAACATTTTGATGAAGCGAATTTGTTTAAATCAAACTGGGAACATGACACGACACATAGACTTTTACTTATTAAATCCATAGTCCAAACCTATATGGATCTGAGGTTTAAATACTTTGGAAAGAAAATAACAGAAAAATTTTTATTTCGAAATTATTTTAATAAAATTATATTAAATAAAACTATTATTTACGGATTTAATCGCGTTTAATTACTTTAATTTATTTTTATTATTATCCCGACGTTTCGGGTGCTTTACAGCGCCCATGGTCACGGGGGGGACTGAGATGTTTGACGTCCCAATGTCATAGTTAGTCCAGCTACCTTCAGTTTTTTAATATTAATTTTTTAAATTTTTTTTTAAATTATATTATTTCGTAATGAGTAAGTGCGAGTAATTTATGTTTGTAATAAATCTTTTTTAAATGGAAATTTCAGTTTTATTATGAAGTAGCGTCCGCCCGAGGTATCTTCTTATTCTATCTCTCGGGACCTCTAATCCTATATGTTAATTCAGGTAATAAACTATTTGTGTGCCAAATTATTACATTTAAACTGGTCTGATACTTTTGGCGTAATTGAGGAACAAACAAACATTCAAACTTTTGCATTTATTATAGTTTGATTAGTGTGAGTGTGATGACTGAGCCTAATTTATTGTCTAACAAACAAAAATTCTTTAATTAGTATTTCTTGTTTAGTAATTCCTGAGAAGTAATTGTAACATTAATAATAGATAGTTACATTATAAAAGCAAAACAAAATGACTACTTAAAAGTAATGAACTGAAAACATAGGTATAACTTATATATATATACATATATATTTCAGTAATGCCTTTTTAATTTCCTTTATTTTGATATCCCTATCGATATGTTGAGTAAAAAAAAATTAAGGACTTACAATTTGTCATCCGTCATATCGATTTATAAAAACCTATCTAAGAACACTCGGGTGTTTGAGACGAATTACACGAAAGAATCTTTTTTCAAATAAGCACCACATTATCGATATAAAGTATAGTGCGCAACACTACGTCAAGCCGCCATCTTTGTGCCACACTCAATTTAGGTATACACGTTTTTTTCGTAGGTATGTCATGTCCTTTCTTTTTTCTCTAGTCAAAGTATTTGACCTACATGTGTGCGGAGTGTTGAGATTTGACAAAAATATAAGTAAGTGTGCGTACTCTATATTTTCCTCCCCCGCACCAAAAGTAAACAGAATTTTTTGTTCGTAGCATTAGGCGCATTACTTGCCCATTAATTTGAATGGTCTAAGGTTTTTTATACATCTATGGTTAAAATGTAGGAGTAATAGTGTTCTGTGTATGGAGTGTAGAAGTAAGGAGTACCAACTCCCATAGTAGAATAGTTGAAAAAGTGGTCATCTGTAAGCAGTTATCACAACTTGGATGACTGGGATGAAATGAACTTAGCAGTTGTCGCCGGTTTAAGTGTGCTGCTAAACTGATCAGTAGCTCTAAAATCTAAAATAATTTTATTTTGTACATATAACCTCGAAAAAGTCGTCTATCCCACTAATATTTTACGGTGCGTTCTTTAAAATTTACCCCATAGCTATAGTGGCGTCACCCTTATTCAAAGGTTTTATGAACATTTTTAATACATAGTCTGTACTTTTTACTTCTACAGTCCATAGTTCTGTGGTTAAAATTCTCTGTCTACGGTTAAAACATACAGTATCAAAGTCTCAGTCAAACTTGTGGGGGGAGTTTTGGGGGGGAACTTGGCCGTCGACGGATTGTCGCTCCTGTTTTGTTGTTTTATAATGGTTTGAAGTGGATTTTGATTCGTAAAAGTGATGCAATTTTGTGAATTAAGTGTCTGCGCGTGCGAACTATTAGAAAAAACGACAAAACAAGTGCTTTGATGTTGATATAAACCTCAAGTTATTTTGATCACTTGGGCGCCTTTTGAACTTGAGTGTCGTCATCAATTATCCGCTAGGATGAGCTGTCGTCACAATCTTCCAAGGGCTTTGAAATGTGACGCATCAGCATATTGTAAAGAAAAAGAATTTAAAATGAAGATTCCGAAAGAAATGATAGGCTCAGAAGGGCTAGAACCCAGAGCCGTAAAGCTAGTTAAAAAAATAGTCAAACTTGCATGGAGGTTATGCCATTATTTATCTATGGGTTATGCCTGCAGTACACTGCTTGCAAAGTTGAACGAAGTTGGGCAAAGATAAGTGTGTACAGGGACACTTCGCTTCACTTTGGGCAACTTCGCCTCGCCTCGGGTGATTTCCGATCGTTCTCGGTTTGTTCCAGCCGAGTCAAAGGACCGAAGTTTCGAGCACGAAGTGACCCTGTACATTACTCGGCTTACTTCTATAAAGTTAACGTTGTGCT